TTTACTAAAACTTGGAGCTCATGCACTTGCTCCAGAATAGGTTTATCATCAACCATTTGGAATCTCAAATACTGAGACACAAGATATTTGTTGGTGCCATCTTCTTGTGACTTGTATTTGAATTCCAAGGCATTCCACAACTCTCTAGGGCACGTAATCGGGGAATACAGATCATACAGACGATCTAACAAAACATTCTTAATGTGTCCACAAGCAAGAGTTTTCTCTTCCTTGCGAATCATTCTAAGCTTTTGTAGATCGACAATTCTTTGAAGATTCGGTTGTTGTCCTGGTTCAGGGACCGGATCTTCGGGCATGGGAGGGAGACTTGGGTCCAAGACATAGTATAGTTTCAACACCATGAGCATAAATTTCACTTTTTCCGCCCAGCGAGTGTAACTTGACCCGTCAAACTTGTCCAATTTTATCATGTCTTGATTGAGAATACGATAATTTTCGGTATCCATTTATTATAAAACCTTTAAGATTGTTGATAAAAAAAATTCCAATAAGAAAATTGAATACCAAATAAAGATTTAATCTTTATAAAATTTAATTATATTATTGCAATAAAAAGGTTAAACATTTTTGAATTCAGACCCACCAAAAACCTTAATACTTGCCAATTCACACAGATTGATCTATCCTTCTCGATAGATTCAATGAAAGAAAGGGGTAGAAGCAGAGTGTTCACTTAGTGAATGAGAAATTTAAATACAATGCGAAAATTATAAAACCAACCTGTTTAGTATTCTGTCGATTCGGATGATGAACTGCACGGAAAACCTGTCCTTAAAGGTTTTATACGACCACTCTATAGAAGTTGTGAGTCTGCTAGTCGCAAAGTTCCAAGATTTGATGCAGTAGGAATTTCGTTTGTGAACAACAATCACAACGAATATAGAGCAGGTTTATGTAGCAAAACGTAGAGAGAAATAGGAGTGGGGAGCAGAATTTCATCAGAAAAGAAAACAATTTTCGTATGTCAATAATGATACGGCTTCACCCAGTATTTATACTGGGTGAAACCCTAGAAGAGGCCCACGATTATCTCCACAAAATCGGAGAAGGTGGGGAGAAAAATTCTCAACCGAATTTTATCTCTAAAACCAAGTCAAAAATCGGATTATTTCAAATTAAAATTAATAGTTATCCAAATTAAACTGATAATCCTCCTGAAGAATTTCTATTCGCGGCGTGCGAAGTGCAAAGTACGCCTCCTCACACCACCTTCGCGAATCCCGCGTTTGCGCCCTCGGCCTTGGCCACCCGTGCGCGTGTGTGTTGGGCTTTCCACTCAAGACCCCCACCATGAGTCCACTAACATGTTCAAAGCCAACTACTAGAGAAAGCCTTATAAGCTTCTCTAGAAATCAACTCTCTACCAATGTGGGATGGAAGGTTAACTTATAAATTTCCAAAAGTCAACATAAAAAGCGCAAACCAAAAATTAAAAAATTGTTTTAAAACATGCCAAAAACGATTGAAAATCCTATAAGCCCCTTTGAGCCTGTTCCTTGTTCATATTTCGATTCCACATATCATAAACTCCTCTGAAGGTAGGGATGGCAAAAAAAAACTGAAACCGATGGTGAAAACCGAAAATCGAAACTTTTGGACTGGGTTTAGGGACATCTTATCGGGGACAAATTTGAGGATTATAATGGGGATGGGGACGGAGACGGTGATCACCGGCCCGGCCCGCCCGATATGTGTTTGTATATATATATATATATATTAACTTTAATTTATATACATATATATAATATCATTAAAAGAAAATAGTAACATTAAAATTTAAAAGATTTTCACCCACACAATTCAAATAAGGCTCACGAAAAAATCTAGTTTATTTATCTAATCATGAAATCGTTATTTTAGTTGTATGTTGTTTGAATTTCTGTTTAGTTTTATATTGTAATCTAATACATTGTTTGTAATTGGTTCAATTATGTTTGAGACATTTAAATTTACATATTTAAAAAATTGTAATCTACTTTTAGTTGTGAAAATTAACATATTGCAATTTTTTTAGAACGGTCTCGGGTTCGATTATAACCAATGGTGAATGAGAAAAAGAGGATTTTTACTCTTAAAGGGTTCCCCAACAAGGATCAGAAAACCGCGGGGACCCGATGGGGATCCCCGATAATCTCCGACGAGGATCGGGACGGTTATGAGAACGGTTTTAATTATCCGTTTCGAAAACGGAGATAACAATAACCGGCTCGAATCCGATCCGTTGCCATTCGTATATGAAGTCTCTACATCGTACTCAAGCATGCCTCTAGTGCAACGCTACCTGTCACATGCTACCATCACTAATTTTTGCAAAAGATGTAGCCCTATCTCCTTTTTCTGTTGTTCAATCACCGTAACAAAATTGAGTTTTTATAGGATTTCTTAAATTGTCTTATAAAACTTAAATTTATAAGATCAAAAAATAAAACGTCATAATTAAAAAATGTTACAATAAGTTTATAAGACATTTTTTTGAGGTTGTAACAAGTTTTTTTAGAACATTTTAAAAATAAAAGAAAATGTTGTATTAACTCTTTTATAAGACATTATTTGAAAAAAAAAAGTGTCATGTAAACACAAGAATCTTATAAGAAGATAGATTTATAGGACACTTATCAAAATTGTCATTTAAAATAGTTAATAGCACATTTTATTTTAAGAATGTCCAAAAAACTTGTTATGATATCCAAAATTGTGATATAAATTATCGTAACACTTGTAAATAAATATGACATTTTATTTTTTAGCTTTATAAATTTAGGTCTTATAAAGAAAGTATTAATAAAACACTTAATAGACGTGGTGGTGTAAATTGAATATATATATATATATATATATATATATATATATATTTTCTTAGGTTTGTGGTGAATGATGCATAAGCCATTGAGCATTAAGATTGCGTGTCTTTCCGCACCTTGCCACTGACTCCCGCATGCGTACTCTATTATTCCTTTTACTATTAAAAGCAGGATATGGTGACATCTTTTATCCAACTAATTCATTTGGTAACTAGGGGCGGGAAAATCTATCTAAGGCTCCACTTGGGTTTTGTGCATTTGTTGAATCAATTTTAGTAATCGCAACTTTTTAAGGTATGAAAGGTGAATCTAAACTTTGAGGTGTGCTCTAAATATTAAAAATGTAAGGAATCTTAACCAATAAATCCAAAAAATCACTCAAAATCAATTAATAAGTCAAAAAAATTTGTCGTAATCAACCAAAAAACTTTAAAAAAAAATCCCTCGAAACGTTGAAAACACATAGGATAACTTTACAATGCTTTTATCCATCTTAAAAGGCCACCCACCATTGATGCCTAACCATTTTAAAAATCCATAAAACTACATATTCTGTATAGTAATTCAAAAAGAATAATATGATAAATATTCATGATAAATGATATTTATTATTTAAGGTTAACTTCATCAATTAGGAACACTATATAAAATAGATGGTTCATGGGTTTAAAAAATATTCAAGATTTTTAAATGAATCTCCCTCCTTTGCTCTTTGTATATACCGTTTCCTTCGAATGATATACAACTGATGACAAATAATATATATATATATATATATATACATATACATACATACATGTGTGTATAGAGGAGCGTTCAAATACAAACCGCTTCAATTTATACAAACCATACAGACTAATAACAACAATCACATCAATCAATTTGTTTTTCTTTATTTTTAATTTATAAGAGCATTATGGTCTTTTAAGATTACAATAGTTATGTTTGATAAATATTTAATAATTAATAATTGATAAGTTTGATAATTCTTTAATTTTATACAAATATGGATTATATCTTTGATTAGCTAGCACATTTTTAGTAAATATTTAATTGATTTATCCATTAAATATGTTGATACAAATTGTCATCTTTGAAAAATGTAAAATAATTGTTGATTAAAGAATATTTTTTTGTTTCATCATTTATTAAAATATCACTCCTTTTATAGTTTCTAGATAATTTTATTTCATCATTAACAATTACATTATATGTTTCATCATTAACATATTTATCATTAACAGTTTCATTCTGTCTAATGCCACGGTTTCATACAAACCTTACAAACTAACCACATTCATCTATTTTTTTATGAAAGACCAAAATTGAAACAAACTAAATAAGTAAAGTAAAAAAAAAAGAATTCATATTGGATACATGAAAGGGCAAAACGGGGAAAACATGTTCTATGAACCCTTTTCATTACAGCTGTTATATAAGAACTTGTTTTGTTACAAACTGTTATACATACTTATGAATATAAATTTGTTTTATTACCATTGTATATATATAAACCTGATGCAATCATATATGACCATGTTTCATTGGAAATCACTTTGTTTCATTGAATAGTTGGGTCTATTTCATTGGAAATTAGTGGTGATTTTTTAAATAAAATTATTATACATTTTTTAAAATGTGGGATTGTTTTCAAAAAATTTAATGGATACCTCAATTAAATCTTTGTTAATGTTGTGCTAATCAATATATCATACATATTATATAAATATTATGTTGTTACCAAACTTATCTATTCATATTAAATAATTACCAAATATAACTATTGTAAATTCAATTGACCATTATGCCTTTATAAAAAAAAGGAAAACAAATGGATTTATGTGATTGATTGTAATTAGTTTGTAAGGTTTATAATAATTTGTATTTGATCGCTTATCTGTCTTTATATATATAAATAAAAGCAGATCCATAAAAAATGATAATATTTGATGGTTCGGGGACAAAAAAGTAAGCACTAAAGAAATGGATGTTTTTGATATGCATAAAGTGATTGAGCATCAAAGCAATCGACATCTTCCAAAACAGTGTGAAGTGTAATCATTATTGAATGGAACTTTTCCGAATCAAAATTCCAATTTTCTTCTTCCTTTGGACTCATTATAATTACAACAAGTACTACTCATATATATATATATATATATATATATATAATCCCATATGCTCTTTAGTTAATTAAACAACCCGGCCAATCGCATAAAATATACATACATATATATGATATGATGTGGTTGGGAAGATGGGTTGTTTGTGTTTGTTTGGTGATGGTTGTGAATGGTGTTAGAGTTGATGCAGATGATGAGTTGCAGCCTTACAGAACTGCTTTCCATTTCCAACCTCTCAAAAACTGGATGAATGGTACTTATATATATATATATATATATATATATGCTCTCTCTCTCAAGTCTCAACTTACATTACATTTATGTAAACATGCCTTTTTTCTTTTCATTAAGAAACATGCATAGTCCCATTTACTACTCTCGCTCAATTTCGTTGTAGTTTCTACCACTATTTTCATGTTTTCATATTATATATTATACTCTTTTAATTTGATGGCTAAGCTACATATATTAACTTCTTTTGTGTTGATTTATAACATGTCCTCCTCATCTCATCCGGGCTTGTTGATGAATTCAAGATCCTAATGGTAAGACTCATTTCCATAAACAATATATTTCATTTCTCCATATATATATATATATATATATATATATATATATTATCTTTCTATAACTATTTATCCTTGTTGAAGGTCCCATGTATTTCAATGGAGTTTACCATCTGTTTTACCAATACAACCCTTATGGTCCACTCTGGGGCAACATTTCATGGGGTCATTCCATTTCATATGATCTTATCAACTGGTTTCTTCTCCAACCCGCTCTCACCCCAAACCAACCTACTTACGACATCAACGGCTGCTTGTCTGGTTCAACCACCATCCTAAACGCCGCCAAACCCATCATTCTCTACACCGGCCAAGACCTCAACAACACCCAGCTTCAAAACATCGCTTTCCCCAAAAACCTTTCCGACCCGCTTTTAAGACACTGGATTAAATGGTCTGGAAACCCCATTTTGACTCCAATCAACGATATTAATCCGGCCCAGTTTCGTGATCCATCAACGGCTTGGAAAGGTCCGGACGGAAAATGGAGGATTGTGATTGGAAGCGAGATCGATGGTCACGGAACCGCGCTTTTGTATCGTAGTACCGATGGTATTAATTGGACTAGATCCGAAAAACCTTTGCATTTTTCTAGTAAAACGGGTATGTGGGAGTGTCCAGATTTCTATCCTGTTGCTAATGATGGGAAAAGAGGTCTTGATACATCGGTACAAGGGAATAACACAATGCATGTTCTTAAAACAAGCTACAACAGTCGGGAATATTATGTGATTGGGAATTATGATGCGAAAGCGGATCGATTTGGTGTCATTGGTAACGATTTCACGGTTAGCAGCACACAGCTTCAATATGATTATGGACGGTTTTACGCCTCGAAATCGTTCTACGATAACGCAAAACAGAGAAGAGTGTTATGGGGATGGGTTAATGAAGGCGATAGTGGATCGGATGCGGTCAAAAAAGGGTGGTCTGGCCTTCAAGTAAATCGTTTTTTCATGCCGCTAACTTTTAGTTACCTGATAACTAGCCGATAAATTAATCTAAAATTGATAAGTTGGATTGCAATATAAAATTGATCTAAAAGTACATGCTGAAAAAATAATTGAAAAATATAAGGGTCATAATTAGAAAAAAGTGGAAAAAACTCGGAAGATTGTTAAAACGCTAATTGAAATAGCTCTCAAACAGCTGGTTTATGGCAAATTAACCCCAACTTTCTCAAAAAATAATTTAATTTATGTTTGACAAACATGATCTAAAATGATCAAATCTAGCAATGAATGACATGTTGTGTCTATAACAATTATTTTGTTTCAGTCGTTTCCTAGAAGCGTTTGGCTTAGCGATACCCGGAAACAGTTGGTACAGTGGCCGGTGGACGAGATCGAGAAACTACGAACAAAACAAGTGAATATCACGAATAGAGAACTAAAAGGCAGAACCCTACTCGAAATACCGAGCATCACAGCTTCACAGGTGTGTGAAATTCGTTTGAGATAATTACTAATAGACGGGTCTGAAATACACTTCAACAAAAACGGTTTTCTTAGAACGCTAAATCATCCTAATAAAGTATTTAATAACATTTTAAGTTTATATGAGAAAGAACTATGTCATATCTAATGACGTTAAAATAACTAATTTAGGGAGATCTAACAAATTCTATCGATAAAGTTGGACAGACTAATAAAACATAAATATAAATCCTTCTATTAATCATTTTATATACACACCATTCAAAAGTATCAGATTAACATTTCAAATAAATATAGAATGCTTTTCAAAAGGGAAGGATTTACTTTTTGTGTATATTAGGTTGTCCACCTTTTCATATATAACACTTGTTATTTCGTCCTTGTCCTAACAGCTCATTGTACTAACCATCGAATAACCGAACTTGGCTTTCAGGCTGATGTAGAAGTGTCATTTAGTTTGTCAAATCTGAACGAAGCAGATGTAATAAATTCGGAAATGGTTGATCCCCAACTTCTCTGTGCACAAAAGAATGCTTCTGTTAGCGGGAGTTTAGGTCCTTTCGGCTTGCTGGTTTTGGCTTCAAAAAACTTGACAGAACGAACCGCAGTTTTCTTTCGAGTGTTTAAAGGACCCAATAAGTTCCTAGTCCTCATGTGCAGCGATCAAAGCAAGTTAGCACCTGGTTTCCTTTTTGTAACTCTTAAGCCAGATATTACAACATACACTATTATATATATCTCAACTGTTTTGCATTGCAGGTCTTCAATTGCACAAGAAGTGGACAAAAGCATTTATGGGGCTTTTCTTGATTTGGATCCTCACCACAACATCCCGCTAAGAAGCTTGGTATACTCCATTTACATTTACATGCATACATATACACACAATTTCCAATCTTTTATATATATATATTAAAGTTTGTGTGACGAATTATATATATATATATATATATATATATATGTGTGTGTGTGTGTGTACAGATAGATCATTCGATTGTGGAAAGCTTTGGTGGAGAAGGACTTGCTTGTATGACTGCTAGAGTTTATCCAAAGTTGGCTACTAATGAAGACACCAAGCTTTATGTATTCAACAATGGCACACAGACTCTATCTATTTCCAATCTAAATGCCTGGAGCATGAACAAGGCTAAAATACTTCCATTGCCCTAGCTAACCTACTATTCACTCAACACTATATACATATGCGTCTACCTCTTTATTTTATTTATCATATATATTATCCCTAGTAATAGTATACCTGTTTATATCTGTATAACAGGCTTAATACAAAATAACCTAGTTTTCTACTTGCTCTCTTTGTCACTTTCTATTAAGATTCTCACTTATCTTACTGTCAAAAGATTATCGGCACATGGTAAGATTGTTGATATGCCTCTGGTAGGTAAGAATCATCATCCTTGTCTAACGGATAACATTCTCATACTCACCCATGCATATAGCTTTTTTATGAACGATTTTACATGATACGTTTCAACTATAAAAAGGCTAATACAATGACGACCGACTCCTACAGTTCATTTATGTTAATTTACTCAATGAGATTATATAATGTTTCATAAGGATAAGGATGAAACTGTGGAGGTTATGTTGTCACAAGAATAAGCTTATCAACAAGCAAGTGATGTAGATCAAAAAATCCCCATAGAAATTACTCCATTTTCTTGATTCTACATATTCAAAATGGGATTCATCATCACCAGCAAATCTTCCATCTCCAACAAATTCTAGATCTAAATTTGCACAGCTCAAGAATTATAAGATCAAATTATGCATTTGGCAATATGTCCTGTACCTTACCAATCACATGGCACAACCCCTAGATAAAATCAATGTTGTACAGTTTGAATTAAGAATAATTGTAACGTAATAAAACAAAAACATCAATCGATCTAGAGATCTAATTAAACCTGTGTATTTCCTCGCATAAATCGTCATCAATATCATGAGTCCTGACATCGATATTGATCTTCTTTAATTTTCACCACCGACTCGACCATTCTAGTCATCTTTTTAGCATGTAATAGTGATATTATCAAGGGTGATAACAACCTGACAATAAAGAAAGAAAGAAAGAAGATGAATTAAGATTCTTTTAATTGTTTAGCAAGTAAGTAATTAATCAGATTTTGAAACTACTCACATTCTTTATAGTAGTCATATGGCTGTTGCATAGAGCATCAACCATTCCACCAACGATGTCAACAGATGATCGAGTTTTGCTGAAGAAGTCAACAAAATCGATTTCCGGAAAGGGGATTGGTTCTTCGAGATCGTTGGTGCACACATGCAAGTTGAGGACTTTTGGATATTACGTCGCTATGCCATTGAAAACCTTTAACACATAAGGACTCTAGAGCCATGAGGTTATCCCCCAACTCCACCATGTTAACAGTATGTGCGCACCTACTGATGGAAAGAGTCTTTAAGCAATTCATTGTAATATTCGGATTTCGAGTTAAGATTTTTGGATTATATATATATATATATATATATATATATATATATAGGGGAACGATCAAATGCAAACCACTCAATTTGTACAAACCGTGCAAACCGCATTCAACCAATCATAATTTTTTATTTTGTTCATTTTTTT